TCTGCACAGCCAGCAACCCTCTGCTTCTCCACGTGTCCGTGATCCGCTCAGTCACAGCTCAATCTTCCATCTGCCAGTCGTGCAGTTTGCAATAATTAGCAGCTATGTTAATAATAACAGATGGCTAATGTGGCTCTCGGGTAATTGCTAATAGTTAAACGGCTAAGGTTAACCCGTGTGCTGGTCAGGTTACCATTGATGATAACTGTTTAATATTTTAATGTGATAGAAATGGGAGCCGATCTCTGAAATCCCTCCTAAAGTGGTGTTCAGTGTTATGAACTTTAACTACTTCAGCTATTAGTGAGGAGAGGACCTGTGTGCCTGCCTGGATCGTACTCACGCAGGAAGTAGAGGAACAACCGGGAGCTTGGTGTTTCGTCTCGGCATTCCAACTCTGAGCTCCCGCCGGCTGGTTTTCCAGCTCCGGCTCATCATCTGTGAACACGACTCCCTTCTCCAGTCGCTGCCTTTTACGGCTCTGAGAAGCAAACACGGGAAAGTGACTTTACTGATCTGTGCGTTTCTTATTCTAATGAAACCAGCACAGAAGCTGGTCGTTTGTTCATCATCAGACGAACACAACTGCATACGATCTCTGTTCAAATGTAACGCAGAGTAAATCTGGTGTTAGTGAACAGGCATCGGTGCCTACCGTGTTCTCTGCAGCGCGAATGCGTTTCCTGTCTTGCTGGAAGTCATCATCTTTCACACAGTCGGAGCTGAGAGATGCCTGGAACTTCTCTGACAGTCGAGAGGCTAGAGACGTTTTTCTTCTTTCTTCTTCTGGGAGAAGCACTAAAACACAGAAACAACACATGCAAATGGATGTTTTATATACATTAGTAAGATAATCCTCTACACTGGTTTAATGAAATGCTTTAAGTGTCACACGCCTCTCTGATGAGTCCTTTAACAACTGTGCCGTTGTTGGAAGGCACCTGTTGCTCCAAAACACTGGTGTTGGTTTTTAAGAGCTTAAATAATTTAACTAAATTAAATTGATGTAATTCGGACGCCAATCTCCTGGTTAAAAATGTGTGAATTTCCTTTAAGCCCACCAAAAGGATTCTAAAGAACGTGTTACTTTATAACTGAGCTAATGAGGATACATAGTGTCAACTGATGATATAACAAAAACATTGTAACTGTGAGTCATTGTCATTCTAACGCCAAAGTGAAAGTTATGCCGAGGTTAGCTGGTCGTTGTTGTAGTTTTTCTCTGTTTATGTTCTGCTGCTGCATTTCCAGATGACTTCATATAAAAACTAAAGTTAAGAGACAAATCTGAACTAATGGTCCGAGGGCTGGGTTAGCTTGAAATGTGATATCAATTCATTAAAATCCTGAATCGAGTTTTAAATATACATTTATTTTGCCTGAAACGCCAGAATCTCAGGTTCAACCTCACAAACTTTCGACAGTCACCAAACAGCCGAAACGAGAGCAGGCACACAGATTCTGCACAAAGATGTAAACACAAAGCGCGGACCCGCCAACACATCAGAATCTGTGAGCTGTCGGCTTTCCCGACGGCGTGTCCGACCGTGGACATGCCGTCGGGGCTGAAAGCCGACAGCTCACTGATTCTGATGCGTCGGCAGGTCCGTGCTTTGTGTTTACGTCTTTTTTTGCGTTAGATCCTGAGTGGCAGGTTTTGTCTCTCCTGACTTTTCCTGTTTTGCTTCCACCACTTCCTGCAGAGCTCTCTGTCTCTCTCTGTGTACTTCGAGAACAGTTTCCCATCTAAAAATCTCTGTTTTCTGGATTATTCGCTTGCTTATTACGCACCAGTCTACTGTTATGTACAGCGCTGTCGGACAGTTTTTTTTTCTTTTTTAAATTTAACTGACTTCCAACAAGAAAGTCGTAATAAAATAACTTTGCACTGCTTCACTTCAGCAGCATCAGGTAATGTTTACATGTTGATTCATGGTTTTCTTCAATTTTTCGTTCTACTGCAGAATATTTTTAAGGTTAGCTGCTATAAAAAGCCAGGACAGGAAAATCTGCTTCATGTTTTTCTGTGTTTATCCTCAGTTACTTTGACACATCTGCTGTGATGCTCACACCTCTGATGAAGTCTCACAAGTGTCAGCTGTCTTTTTATAGATATAAAAATATGGATATGTGCTGATAAATGCTCAGAATTATAATATTTCTGACTGTCTGAGGCAAAATTTCCCCGATTCAAATCAAATCAATCGAACCGAATCGATTGTAGAAATCAGTGGCGACACCCAGCCCTAAATGGCACTAAGTGAAAGGGTGATTTAATTAAGGACATGTTCAAATATCAGTCATCCTTGGAACTGTTGTGATTGATTGGAGAGTCTGTGCAAGGAGACATACCCACTCTCACTCCTATTTATTTATTTTGCCCACTGAAATAACATTACTAATGCCAGAATTTCAGATTTGCTCGTCTGACTTTCTACTCGAATGCCCCTTAAAGACGAACTTTAAGTCAGAGCAGCCCAACCAGCCCCAATTTAACAATCAAAGATAGTGGCAGTGGACATAAACACTAGTAAAACTGTGAAGCGTATCTGTGCCGACACAAATAAGCCAAACACAGAGCACTGAGCGGGTTCGGCAACAACGTTTTTAAGGACAAGAAACAAACACTGCACTGTGTAACATAAAACTACAGGTGATCAACAGCTAACTACGAGATAATCAAGCGACTAGTGGCTGCAGGTAACATTGTAACAACAGTAGTACAGGTTCAGGTGCTGTATGTTTCACAACTAAAAACCCAGGTCTGCTTACTGGGTTCTTGTGCTGAAGTCGACGGCTGAGCCGTGTCTTTGGAGGGTGACACAGTGAGGTCCACAACAGCATGTTTGTCTGCTGCTGTTGCCTTGTTCCTGCTGGATTTGCTGTGACACCCACACTTGCAAGAGGTGGGGGAGTCGGACTTCTGGCTCTTGTCTGGACCGGTGCTTCCTCCTTCCTGCAGTTTGGCTATAATCCGATAGTGAAACAGAGAACTGTCAGTAACATTGACCCTGAGTGGCTATTAGCTTTTTGGGTGTAAGAAAAAAGGAAATTATACTTACAAGAAAACAGCAAGAACAAAAGAAATGAGTCAGTGGTTAAACTAAAGTCTTAATTTACCCATTTTGCTCAATATTTTTATCACATGAATCATAATTTAAAATAATCTGTACTGATCTTAATCTTGTTTGAAATAAGTCATTTTAGCTCCCTCATCATTACCTTTAATCTAATATTGTTTTAATAGGCTGCCAATCATAAACAAGAGGTATAAACACCAAATCGGTGGGGCTTCTATACTCACAGCCAGAGCTATGAGCAGCTCTGGCACCATAAAGAGTTAAGAGCAGAAAAACTTTAAGACCTGGTTTTGGACTCACAGGGAGTCTTCGTCCATACGCTAAGCTAACTGTCTGAAACAGTTTTATCCACTGGAGCAGTTTAAATATGACAGAAAAAGCAGATTTCATTGTATAGATAAAGTGCAAGTATATCATCCAACTTGAATTTTACATGCACGCTTACCGAACTGTGCATGCTGCCAACCCAGAGCTGAACAAAGCAACGCCAAGCTCTTTCCACTTCCAGTTGGAGACTCTAGTAAACAGTACTGCCCTGTGTTCAAACCTCGAACAATCTACAAACAACAGAGAAGAGCTAAGTTAAAACACACAAAGCTGAAGTGAAAAACAATGAAATGTCCACTACAGCCACGGTTTATGCTCCACATTATAATGTTCAGGGTGATTTCTTTTTTTAACCAGTTATCATGTTCCCTGCGAGCTAATGTGAACCTGAGATTAGGATCTTGGAGGAGTGTACAGGAGTATGTTAGGATGGGTGAAAACCTCCCTTCGCCTATCTCAAGGGAAACATGTTAAGCTTGCAGGTGTAGCAGTCTGTTTGCTTTGTACAAAGGGTACATGGGACTGTGCAACCATACCAAACTTTATGAAGAACTTAAGGAGAAGACCCAAACTTACATTTTCAAAATGCAAATACATACATAAGTCAGACAAAGGAACAGCGAGGTCTGCAGGATCATAGTAGAAACTATGCTCTGATTGCATGTTGTGCATTTAGCTTATAATAAAGTGGCTTTCCTGTAAAAATTGTTTTGATATCCAAACTTTTTAAAAAGAAATCAAGAAAAAAAAAACACATTACTAAATAATATAATGTAATATTGTATAATGAACGGTACTAGTAGTGAGTCTGGGGGTTTTTTTTGGTAAAATATTTTAATAATGTAGTGAAGCAGTGCATCAGGAGGTGAGCGTCATTTAATCAGCATTAAGTGTGGTTTTGAGTTTTTTCATGACCAGAGACATTAAAAGAAAGACACGTGTAGCCTGGCACAGCCTCTGTCACTGCACAAGCACAGATGGATGCGACTCACTAAATTCATCATAGCCAGCTGGGACGGGTAAGCCTTGCAGGGGAAGTGGATCTTCACCCCTCCAATGGTGTACTCCACTGGTGATGAAGTCATGTTCGCCTGTCCCGACAAAAGTTCAGAGTAACACGAGTTAGGTGTGTAAGGTACAGTAACATACAACTAACGCACTATGAAGTAGCCTGCAGTAGTTACACTATTTCTTCTGTCTGAAGACGTCACCCAGATAGGTAAAGCTGGAGAAAGTGATGCGTTAGCTACAACGTTTTTGCTCGAATACCAAGCAAGAGCTAATACTACGAGTTCCGCCATTACTGTACTACTAGAGTATCCCATGGTCACGCCTGTCACTAAACACATACATTTGCATATTTGTAAACAAAACAGCCAATTATACCGCTGTTTACATTTACTTTACTTACTGTGATTCTTCCCGCTCTCACAAATCACGCTAAGGATCCGGACAGGAAGTCGGCTGCATTGCACATTAAAACTCCACGCGAAAGCTTTCAAAATAAAACTGGTATTGGAAAAGATCACGAAACATGTTGTACTTAAAGGCCCATTTGCTCTATATTCTTTTGATATGTTAACTTATACAATTCTCAGAAGCTAGGCAACGTTAAAAATACGTGTACAATAGTGTGTACAATAATGTAAATTAATCCCGCTATTTTACGCTTTTATTATGAATAGTTAGCGCTGACCAGTGACTGCAACTTATGTAGCTACAAAACACCGGAAATTACGTTAGTAAACATTAGCGCCGTTGACTGGAGAGCCACGTTGTTATTCCCGGAAGTTTAGCGGGCAATTGGAAAAAGTGAAAGTAGGCCGACGGTGCTGCATTTCAGTAGTGATCAATAAATGCATTGATCTGCAATAACTTGTATACCAGAGTGGAGTACATGTAGTTAAATCTATGTATATCTAACTATTATATAATATTCAATAATCAGTGATAGCTTCTTGACATATTTAAGCTTTCGTTACCACATTTCTTTTACCATACTTACCTTATTATTTTTTTAAACATTGCATGCTAACCAGCAGCAGTCACAACTTAATATTTATTGTTGTCATTTTGATTGAATAGAATAAATTTGGCTAATATTTCACTCGATAATGTTTCCATGTTTTTAAGATTTTTTTTTTTCTTACAAAGTAGCATCAGGGCCCCATTAATAAATATAGGTATAAATGATCATTTTGAGAATACACTCAAAATTTCAATACTAAGGTTGAAATACTATTTTGAGATATAAGCTGAAAAATATTTTCAGAGTAAAGTCCAAATAATAGTTTCAGAATAAAATTCAAATGTGGAAATTAAAGACTTCTACAAAATGCCTTGTGTAGATGAGATGGTGAAATTGTACTTCATAATCGGTTTTAGTCAAAGGAAATGATTTCTCTTTTAGCGCATCAACACAGTGTGGTGATAAATATAATGACATTGAAGAGGTGGTGCAGAAAGTTGGAACTGTTCAGAAGGAAAAACCACAAAACCCTGGAAGAGTTGGAGAGATTTGTACAAAATGAAATGGCTGACAATGGGCAGATGCAAGGACACTGATGGTAACACCCTTGTACAAAAAAGAGGATGTGTGTTGAACCACAAACTCATCTACACAACGCATTTCATAGAAGGAGCCGTGAAGGTTGTTTGGCTTGAAGCAACAACTCAAAATAGTATTTCGAGTTTAACTTTTTCTGAATGTGATGATATGGTTTTGATGTGTGTTTGGGATTTTTATCTTGTTGGAACACCTAATTGTATCCAAGTTTCAACTGTCTTATTTGAGGTGAAGTTGAAGAATTTAAAGTATTTTTCTTCATTATTCTGTCCATGGTGTGCAACGTACCACTGGCAGCAAGATAGCCCCAGAGCATGACACCACCACTACTATGCTTGACAGTTGGTACAGTTGCTGTACAGTTGTTAAAACCTAGCATATCTCTTATCGTGCAAATGTCCGCTTCCCACATGCACGATTGATTTTGGAACAAGACAACATCTCGTGATCAGCAATGTCTTAGTCCATAGCGATGTAAAACTCGCTTCACTGTGGATAGCAATGCTGGTTTTCCAGTAGTTTCCAGTTCTTGACATGTTTGAGCTTTCGTGGTTCCTGGGTTGCTTCTGCACATCCTAACCAGTTTCCTGTCATCTGAGGGTGACAGACTGGGTCTACTTCTCAACATTGACAAACTGGTGACACATCCAGTTTTACTGAGGTGCAACTGAACTAATGATGTTGGGCTCTGAAATATACACACCTTCTCTTTTACCTTTACTTTGTTGGTCAAAGTGCTGTCAAACAAATCCTTTTTATGATGGGAAAAAGAAACTACCAGTTATAGTCAGTCATGATCACTAAGAAGTTAGCAGGCTTTGGCCTTGTCACGTTGAAAACATTTTACAACTTGCAGCACTATTTATCAAACGATAAACTGAGTCTATGTATATATTCTAGTCAGCAGATGAGGACAGAGTTCTTAGCCTGACTACGAACATATTAAATCTTTGTTATTTCCCTTGTCGTCCGTTAAACAGAGCAAAGAATTTTTACCACAGCTTTTCCAAACATTTTAGTTTTATTTTGGATGCTTACATTATTTTACTTTGCACACAGAAACAAAATAATTTCACAAAAACAAAAAGAAAACCAAGGTCAAACTTGTTAGCCCCCCTTATGCTAACGAGCAGTTGTGTATCTTTTTTTGCAGGGCAACAGTCTGCAGTGCTTTGCTATTTTTTTCAACAAGTCTCACACAAGCCTCCTGAACAATCCCACCCATTCTTCTTTGGTCAGTCTGTCACACTCCTCCAGATTTCATGGTCACCCACAGACTTTGGACTGTCTCTAGGTTGCTTCTGGTGCAGCTAATTAGCAGTCAAAAACAAGGAAAACGACAATAACATACTGAAGAACATCCTGAACCTGTTCTGGGGATACTCTCTACCACTTCATCTAACTCACTCCAGAACTTTAAGGAGCTTGAATAGAAAAGCGACTGGACTCCTTTGAGTTTCCTGAAGATGCCTTGAAGACTCGAGAAAGTCTTTTCTATTCAGTCTCCTTAGATTACCACGACTGAGAACCTACACAGCCTCACTCCAGAATTCCTCTTTCCCTTCTGACGTTCAACCAGTGGGACATATGCAATGGCAAATTTTTTTTTTGTTTGTTTGCAAAACCGTTCAGATTGCATAATGATTTTTTGAATTACTAAATATTTTCAAAGCATTGTAATTAAGTTACTTCAGAGTATTTTTTTTATTTAAATAGGTTCATTTCCAGATAAGTGTTTTTCACATTTACATTGTACACATGCACTTGGTGTTAGCACAGCTATCCGAATCAGGGAGGTGAGTACTTAGATTAATAAGCAAACAAAAAGAGGAACAGAATTCTCAAATATATATAAAAAATCATAATTGAGGAATTCCAAGCCAAGCAACAGACTGCATTTACAGAGTATGTCAAACATGAATCATCACTGTATCATTTAAATAACCCACAATGCTACAAATTCCTGTTAGAAATTGCACTTAGCTCAGTGGAAACACATCACGTAACAAAGACTGAGAAGTTTTTCTTTCCTGTGTAACCGTCGTTATTCTCTCGCAGGAAAAATCTGAATCAGGGCTCTGTCATGTTTTCCTAACTATACTAAGCTCAGTGAGTGATCTATTCTAAAACTATTTTATTATTTGACATCCTCCATTTCAGACTCGCTGCATTGTTTGTTAAAAACAACTCACTCCTAGAGACAATGAACGTCACCATAATAGTGCAAAACAGTTCTCTTAAAGTCCATCCATGCAGAGTGTATTTAATCACAGATGAGCCTTGTGCATACATTGGTAACTATACAACTCGCGCTGCAGCATGGCGGGACAGCAGCTCGTAGGAAGGAGAGTATTAAAGAAACAGGTGGTGCAGGTGGTGGTGTTGTGTTGCAAATGAGATAAAACGAAGTGGCAGGATGACCTGGGGAAGCATGACCGTTTCTTCTCTGCAGGGGAAGGTTCATGCACAGTGAAAGGCTGGCAGCGTGAAATAGCTCAATAAATGTTACTTGTAAACATTGTTTGCAGTGCCTCACAATTGAAGAAGATTTCCTTTAGGGCCACCAGGGTGTTCACACAGACAGAAGTTCACTATTATAGACACATGTACAGAAGCAAAGGGCTGCCAAAAAGCTTTTTCTGAGAACTTACACCAGGTGTACGGAGCAGGCTCAGGGAAGTGAAGACGCCAAACAACTGTAATGCTTCACAACAAACATTAAAAACATAATCGAGGGGATGGACCTATCCCTTAAGATGCACTGTGCAATTAACAAGTTCAACTATTAGAAACGTCACAGGGTGGGGGGGGCATTATGGCAAATGAGAAAACATGATACTTGCAAACATTACATGTATTTATATAGCAACACACACAATGTAGTAGCTTACTGGTTTGTGATGGTAGCAGCACCTTCAGTTTATATTCAAGATAAGTCTCCAGTGATTAAATAAACTGATAATAATACATAAATATGTTTAACACGGAGTGCGCACACAATGTTGTTGACAGAGTGATGAGTTGGAGAAGAAAGAAAAGGTGAAGCACATCTAAAAGGAATATTACTCTAAGATCATCATACAATAAAAGAAAGTAGAAAAATATATATATTTGTTCTAAATGAACAATTCAACTTACTTTTCAATACTTGCTATAAAATGCATAAGATTTTACACCAGCAACATTATTTAATGCTTACAATTGTTACTAGAAACTGAGGTGACATAAGACACATTTCATCAGCATTTCAGGAAGGAATTTAAAAACAAAGACACAAAATTCATCCAAAACAAACTTTTTATAAGTGTCGACTGTTTGAGTGGCGAGCAGTGAGTCTTTCCTCCGTAGAACAGTTGCTTAGAGTTGTAACAATACGCAGGAGGAAGCTGCAAATTTATGGAACAGAAGCACCACTGCAAATGACGGTGACAGTGGGAGGGAGCAGGTGTGTGTTTTAGCACACACACACTGTGGTACTTTTATGCTGCTGGAGAATGGAGGAGACATTATTGGTGTCTTTCTGTTTCTTCTCTGCGTTGTGTTGCACCAGTGGCGGTCTTTCGGCAGTCCTGCGCCGGGCTTTCTTTGCCAGCAGGCCTGATGGGCTTGATGACACGTCAATAGTTCTTTTTCTGGTGGGTGTCCTGCTGCCGGCTGTCCTGTCCGTTGCACTGGACAGGGCGGGCAGCTCGGGGCTGCCGTTTGAACACAGCGGAGTCAGAGCAAAGGGGTCAGATAGATCCATGTGATAAAAGCTGTTGCTTCCCGATAGCCCATCTCGTCGCTCCAACGCAGAGAAGAGCTCGCACGTGGCCGCGGGGGAGTCCTCCTCTGGAAGTCGCTGCAGAAGAAGACAATGGAATAACAGTCAAGTTCAGCACTTATATGTGGATACCACACCTTAAACCAGGGATCTATTGTTCCTCACCTGAACAAGAGGAGTGTCTGCGCGAGATATGGAGGTGGGGGGACACTGAGACACCTTGGCTAGGTCTAGCAGCACTTCCTCATGGTGCAGGGTATCCTGGCAGGTCCCAGGCTCTTGCAGGGCAATTACTATGGCGCTTGTATTGTCTGCACGCAACATCCGCTGGCGCCACCGCAGCAAAGCATGACTGACCAGCTGCCTGGCACTCGAGACCCCACATGGTGCCTGCAGCAGTAAATGCTGTTAGTACTAGGGCTGGGCTATATCATACCGTTCACGGTAATACCGGTGTAAT